ACCATCTGTATCCAGTCTGCTATGAGATAGTTACAGAAATAGAGAGATAAAGTTTAGAAGCTGTCACATACAATTTGACTGGCTGGGAAATCATAGTGCATGAGTTTGTGCTTTCAGCTCACAATAATCCTCATGCCAAAGTAACATATTTTGAAGTTGCATACTCAGTACCCCTTTAATATACAGCAAATCATACCTTGTGCCTCTAGACCTGTGATCATTTTTGTTTGTTCAATACCTTGGTTCAGGATAATTTTTAAAATTATATAAATAATGTATGTTTGTTGTAAAATTTTTAAAATTCTGACAGAGGAGGAGCAGCTAAACTCACTCATAATCCCACCACTTTCCACAATTCAGAGTAAACCTCCATGATTTCTCTCTACATATACAATAGTATGAAAACCCCCTCCATGTAGAAGGGCTTCTCTTAACTCATTCCATCAGAATAGAAACCAATGGGGAAATTCAAAGCATATTTTTTGAAGATTTATGATAGTACAAGGAACACCCCAGCATGGAAAGCCAAAAAGGAAAGCAATAAAAGAAGCCTTATTATTAAATCATTATATTATCAGATAAAATTTATCAGAGACTTAAGTCACTAATTTTGTTCAAAAGGTTAAGGTTAATGGGATTGTGTGTTATAAATTCATATATATAAAATTTCTGTGATGAATAAAGTTTACATAAATAACATTTGTAGGTTTTATCTTTTTGCCTCATAAAAACTTTAAAAATTAGTATATTGTTTCTTTTACTTTACTATCAGTGTTATAAATAATTGATCAGATTTAATAATAAAAATATCATAGTGATATAATATCATAGTGATAAAATAATAAAGTTATCATAATGATAACTTCTTTCAAAATAGTCCTTCATAGAACATTTCAGCATATAAAAAGTTACACAGGTGATTTTGTTTGGTATCCTTAGTTAAGAACCACTGAATTTAAAAAGGTTTATAATGGCCCAAAAGATTCCATTTATAGTAGCAAGTAAAATATAAAATGCTGGGGCTGGGGTGTAATTCAGTGGGAGAACACTCACCTAGCATGTGAGAAGCCTGACTTTGATCCCCAGAACCACAAACCAACAAATCATATATATTTGTAGGCTGGAGTTATAGGTATGCACTGTTATGCCCAGCTTGAAATCCTCTTTACAAGATGTGATTTACATGTGTATGTGTATTTAATATACACACACATATATATGTAAATATATAAAGAGACAGTCAGAGAAGAGAGAGATCAAAATGTATGGTGAATATTTGTACCTTTTTAAAATTATTACAGTAAACAACGTATTTCCATTAATCCCCTCTCAGAATACTTCCTCTCACTTCAAATATTGTTCTTGCCAATGTTCTTAAGCAGTTCTTCAGGTCGTCTGCTTTTGTCTATTTGTTTTTATTTGGTTAAGACAGTGTCTCACTGTATAATTCAGGCTGGCCTTGAATTCACTATATAGCTCAGTTTGTCCTCAGACTCATAGTGATCCTCCTGCCTCAGCCTCTTAAGTGCTAGGACTACAGGCATGCACCTTTGTGCCCAGTTTGAAATCTTCTTTACAAGATGTGATTAAATATATGTGCATGTTTAATATGCACACATATGCATGGTGCAGAGTGTCATCCAAAGAAAAGATAAGCTTGTGTCATCCACCTTATTCACTGAATCTGGCACTGTTCAACTTCTGATTCTTTCCCAAAGTCGAAATAACTATTGAAGGCAAACATTCTGAATGAATTCAGTACATTGAGGTAGGTACCCAGGATAACACAACCATTGACACTTACAAAAGAGGACTTCTAGAACTGCTTCAAAAAGTGGCAAAAATGATGGGAAAGTGTGTTCAAAACAAATGAGAATATTTTGAACGGAATAATGGCAATGTGCCATTTATGATGATAATTTTTTAAACAATCACTATATGTTTATTATACCACATATATATAATGCCCAAGGAAAAAATTAATAATCTTTGGAATCGATATAAAGAAAAATTTATGACTTACAAATATGAAAAGAAATGGAGAAAGATATGTTCACGGATGAAAATATTATAAAGATATTGGTTTTGAGAATCAAACTATAAAAAACATTTAGAGTTTAACAAAATGAATAATATTCAACTTGGAGAAGAAATTCATAAGTAGAGAATAATAAGGTGAAACATTTTGCCAAATGCTACATTATATTTTACAGTATTTAAAGTGAAATGGTCCTAGATGCAAGAATAGACAGGTCAGTGGAAAAAACCTAAAAATACCCCGTGTATGTGTGTATGTGCATATGTAGAGATTATCTTTTCACATACTATAGGTAAAACTAAAAAAAATAGATTAATTAGGTAATTGATAGGTAATTTAGCTTGGGACAGTAAGTAATTTCCAGTTATTTCTCACTGACTGATTCCCTCTTTAGGCTTAAGCCTGGGCAATTTAGTGACTTAGTAAGACCTTATCTCTAAATAAAAAAAATGGCTGGTAATGTAGCTCAGTGTGAAGGCCCTGAATTCAATCCCCAGTACCACAAAACAAAGTTCTTAATTCCTTTAGTGTGCAGTCAATTTGGTTCTATCCTTTGCCTATCTCTTTAATCTAAACTGAACAGGGCTCATCCTCACGTCATAGTTTAAAAGAAAGACATTGATACAAAACTAATTCCTTCAAAATGAAGTGTTTTTTAATCAGATCAATTAAACAGTTAGATCAGCTAACCAGTTTATACTCCAGCCAGGCTTAAAAATAGCATTTTTTTCCTCACAATACAAAGAAATGAAAATATTCAGCCTCTCTAGTAATTAAAAAAACATAAATTAATTGTGACTGACTTTTTCCCCTTGATTGGCAAAAATGAAAAAGAATCCTAGTGGGGGCAAAGTGGAAGCAAGGACATATATTCAGTGTAAGAAATATAAATTGTTAAATACCTGGTATTATATATCAAACACTATATTTACCTGTGACCTAGTGACTATAGACGATGATCAGAGTTCACAAAGATGCATAATCACATTTATCAAGATTTGATTTATACTGATTAAGGCTTGATTTATGCTGGTGAGATACCATAAACATTTTGGGGAAGAATCCTACTTGACATTGAAAAATGTCCATTACATGTGAAATGAGAAAAAGGCAAAATTTATAACACCTTCTATAAATGTGTAAATGTTTTCATTTACATAAAACCACATTGATTCAAGTAAGTTAATGAACTGTTTGTTTAATATCTACTGTACATGAACTCTTGTGCTGAATTGGGGTGCAGATGTGTTGAAAGTATAAACTTGACTTGTTCTTTGGAACTTTATACTCTTATTAACCTGCAAAAGCACATTAAGATGTGCATTTGTTCCGTGCACATTCGGTGGGGGTAGCTGGAATCAAAGAAAACTGCACTGGATAGAGCTAAGCAGAGATTTGTATCCTTTGACTCTAACATCTTAATGCAGTTACTTAGAGTATTTGAGGAGAATGGTGCTGAATTCATGAGTGCTTGTAAGTGTGAAGGGGGATTTAAGATGGAGTGCTTCCTATGAGACTTACTAAATACTAAATGTATTAGTTCCTTTACTTTCCCTTATAGCAGTTTCTATTTCCTTAGATTAATATCTGCAACAGGTTATAACTGAGCTACTATACATTTTTACATGTTATAAGCATTTAAGGTATTGTGAAAATGTTAGCTCTTAGTATTTCAATACTTTAAGATAGGTAAGGGTCTGGTACAAGTTTCTGGTTTATAAATACATATGTGTATATTGTATGTGCTTATATTATGTAAGTGCTAAATGTGATGATATGGACGATATAGGTTGTTGAATAATGAAAGCAAAGGAACAAATTAATGAGGTTGGTGATCTTTGAGAGGCTTCCTGAGACAATGAGATTGGAATGGAAATTTGAATTTAGACAAGATTTGAATATGAGAACATTATTTGCAGAAACCAGTGGCAAAAAAACAAGGAAAAGAAAATGGAAATGAGTAGTAAGATCAGCCTGCCTAGAAAATGTGGTTTATTTGGAACTAGACAGAAGCAAGCAAGAAACCTAATATATCCAGTGAGAAACAGCCATTCTAAATTTTAAAGCAAGATAGTAATACTTTGTCACCAACGCATCAGTCTGTTAGAATATATTTGTAGTGATTAATTTTGGCAGTGGAGATGTAAACAAAATAAATTATAAATCAGCTCATTATTTTTCCTTTCACAGCACATACTGTGAATTTCCCACTTTATGGCTATAGCTAAAGCAAAATACTTTTAAATTCTTGTATTCTTAAAATACTGCATTACTCAATACAGATAATATTGGAATTTGACTCAAAAATATTCCCACCACCTCAAGGATTGCTCGTTTATAAGGCTACTTATCATCATAACCTAAAAAAAATGTAGTCAATTTTCTACATGAAGGTTATTTGATGCTCCCATTAACTTGCTTTTCCTGCATGTCTTAGTTTACTTTTTACTCGTCGCTAAGACAAAATATCTAATGCCCAAAGTTGGGAAAGGAAAGGTTTATTTCTTATAGTTTTTTGGAGGTTTCAGTCCATACTCAGTTAGCGCCAAGGCAAGGTGGCATGGCAGGCCGCAGTTATGGTGGCTGTAAACAGCGAGGTGGAAACCTGCAAGAGAGAGACACACACACCTCCTTCCTGCCATTACATTGTATGCCAGCTCCACCTATAGGTAGGTATAGCACTGACACCATCAATCCAAGCACTAGACAATGAGTCAATCACAAATGCACAATGCAAACACATGAGGGCTGGGGGCCACTGGCACAAACCATGACAGTGCAGATTTTCAATGTTAAAGTAGTTACAATGGTCCGTATAATTTTTGTCTGTTTTTTATTAAAAGAAAGGGGATTTAAGTAACTTGCAAGTCAACTAACAATTTAGTGATGGTGTCTTCACCTCTCCTGTTATCTTCCTGGAATTTCCTCTTTTCTTACATTTTTTTCTCACATCTCTCTACAGTATGGATGGAGCAGATCTGTGTTTTGAAATTGTAAAGCGAGCAGATGCTGGTTTTGTCTACAGTGAAGCAGTAGCCAGGTATGTAATCTTCCAAGAGGAAAAGTGGAAATAAAAGAAGAAAATGACAAAGAAATCAAATAGACTAATAGCCTGCTCTTACTTATCCTAGCAGACTTCTGCTGTTTGCTTCGAGGAACATAGCTATTTCAGTATGCATTAGTGGAACCAAATAGTGACTTGGAAACACAAAGTAGCAAATAATAAATTCATCTAATAATACAGATTTGCATTTTCACACCAGTACTGCTATTGTTCCTGTTTATGATGCCTTTATGCAGGCAGGATTTGATAAGTTAGGAACCATATAGAATTAAAATTGAATGTTTAGTTCAAAGTTTGTATTTGGCAAATTCAGCTTATGCTTTTTGCTTTTTAGTGATATCAAATTATTATATGACCAGTTTATCTAAGTAAAAGCACAAAACAGTAAAAAGAACAAAATTAAAATCATTTTATATTGTATGTATTCATATTATGTAAGTGTTGTATGTGATGATATGGTGAAACTGTTTTTCCTGAATATATTTGCTTCAGGCCAGTGTGTAGTCTCCCACCCTAAGGGAACCCAGTGTGTAGTTTCCTAGCCTAAGGGCAGCCACTGTTACAAGTTGAAGAGTTGTCATAATGACCTTGTGACTCGAATTAAAGAGTAAATATGAAAGTTCATAGAAGCTATCCATGCACCAGGCCGCTAGCTTATACATATAGAGCAATACAGCTTTCTGCTCCGGTTGTATTCAGTCATATTACAAGTATACTCCAGTGGCTTACCTCTTTGCTACATAGGATATACCATGTTCCTTAATCACCAACCATAATATATTGAAGGTTTCAAACCCACAAACCTATTGAGATTTATTAAAGCTCTCTATTTTTTGTAAAGCAATTGCTTCACATGATTATAACTTCCTATGATTCCTGTTGTAACTATAGCATCATAGAAGGACCTAGCTGAAAACTACTTAGCGACTGTTTAATATAGCTTTGGCTAGGCTATCTTCAAGTTCAGTGCCTTGACTCCTACTGATGGAGGAATGGAACAAAGATAGCAAAACAAAAAATAAAAAATATGCTCAATGTGGGGTAGCTGCTTTTTTGTACTATTAGGGCTAGTACAAGTTAATATATGTTAAATGCCCTTCTTTAGATTCCTGATATATGACAGAACTGAAGCTAAATAGCTTATTTTGTGCCATAGTTTTTTTTTAAGTCCCACTTTTCTATTGTTGAGTTCTTATCATAGCTTTAAGTTAATATTTTAGAGGGACTTCAAAGCCAAAAAACATCAAATAGTCAATGCTATCTTGATTTTTCTTGTGATGCAATTGTAAACCATTCTTTCTGACTAAATAAAGCTTTCATCCATTGACTTTTACATATTATTGTTTATATGTATTTCCTAAAGAATTCAGTAAAATTCATATTGAAATATGAATCCTCAACATATATTTAGAAATGGCACCTTTGGGAGATGATTAGGTTTAGATGACGTCCTAAGGATAGGGTCTCTATAACAAGATTAATACCCTTATAAGAAAAAAAGACCAGAGCTCTTTCTTCCCCTCTGAAATATAAGGCCACACTTAGAAAGTAGACTTCTATAAGTCAGGAAGTGGGCACTCACCAGGAACTGAGTCTGCTGGCAGCTTGGTCTTGAACTTCCTAGCCTCCAGAAAATGTGATAAATGTCTTCTGTTTAAGCTCCCCCACCAAAAAGAAGAATAAATAAAGAAGAAGAATTGGAGCCAGCTTGCCTTGTCTAAACTAGAATTTTTCAAGAGCAGCATAAAATACAGGAAACCAAAAATTCAAAATTTTTATTTATTTTAAAATATTTTTCTTCAGTTGATGAAGGTGATTCTTTCCTTGTTGACCCACAGTAACCGTAGGATACCTGGAATATGTGCTGGCAGTGTAAATGTTAAATCCATGTTACTTTTATCCCATTCCACAGTCATCCTTTCTTAACTTTTCTTAGCTTTCCCCTTAACTTCATCCTGTCTCTGCCCCTGAGCTAGGTGTCAGGATCAGCAGGAGGGTAGCATGTAGAGTTGATGTCATACAGTGTGGGCATTTTCCAATCTCAAAAGTTATAGAAAAGATAAGTAGCTATACACATCAAGATGAAAACCTATTGATTTTTAAATCTACTTGTCCTTGCTGTTAAAATGGTGATACAATGAAAGCAACTTTGCACAGTGGACTAGAAAAGAATAGCATTGAGGCAAGTAAGTGGCCTTTCTCAGAGAAAGGTTTAGACACAATTCATTAAATACTAGTCCTTCTAGCAGTGCAAAGACAGGAGAGGGACTCACATAGTATCATTAGGTATGTTCCCTATTGCAGAGAATCAGTGGCCTCGTAACACGTACATGTAGATTCTTCCTTTGGTGCACAGGGCTTAGCCAAGATACTTTGAACCTTCCTGATTCTGTGATTTGCTGTTAAAAAATTCAGCTTATTAGTATTCTAGTGAGATCAACTGCAAGAACACTCTGAGACACCAAGTAATCAAAGTGATAATGTTTTTCTCCAACTGGCTGAGTTTCAAGAGAAGCAGCAAAGCATGGCATAAACTAAAAATCTTTTCAGTGCTTTGTATGGTACAATTAATAATCACCTCTGTGTTTTCAGGGGTGATGAGTTGTGGAGTAAGCTAACATATAGAATGAGATTAACAAATCAAATTCTCACAAACCAGGAAGAGCTTTTTACTTAGTACCAAGCTTTATTAAATGATTTCAACTAAACAGGAGAACAAAAAGACAGCTGAAACAGGCCTTAGCTGTCATGGGCAGCTCCCCACTCCATCTTTTCCTGTGTCAGCAGGGCACCACTGGCCCAGAATAGGTTAAGTCTCTACACAAAGTTTATGGGATTCCACATTCATGGGAGCATTTTGATTATGCAGTATCTCCATTTTATACCCAAGAGAGTTGGATAACTTCCATGACTTTCTCCATGCCTCAAAGATCCCATCTTCTCTTCTACCGTAGCAGATCTTTAGCCAGGGACATTCTGTTAAGGGCGTATCAGAGACAAAGCCTCTTCTGCCCAGGAAATAACATTAATCTTTACTCAGAATTGAGTCACCTGTCTTCTTTCTTTCTGCCTCCCCTACCCCGCTCTCCAAAATGCCTCCTTCCAGAGGTAGTAAATAGATTGCTAGCCAACTCTTGCCTTGCACAGAGTTATAATATTTCCTGACGCTCAGGGAAGAGGGAGGGAGATAGATAGATAGATAGATAGATAGATAGATAGATAGATAGATAGATAGATGATAGATAGATCTGAGTTTCTCTAAAAGCATGTACTATGATGCTTCATAAGATTTTTGATTAAAAATTTAGTCACCAACTCTCTAAAATGTGTGGATAGATCCCATTTTATTCTTCACATACACTCTTGACATGTACAGCCCCCAGGTATGATAACTAGTAGGATGAAAAAAGATTAGTTTCCATCTGTTATAATTTGCAGAGAAAAAATTTCTACTCTCTCTTTGTGTACCCTAGAGATTCTTCTAAATATGTATATTTGGATCAAATAATGGAGTACTCTGAAATTCAGATCTAAAAATGTTCTTTTAATTAATTTTATTTTGTTTATTTTATGAGGCTTTGAGATGGGACTTTTTAGGCTAAAGATAATTTAAGTGGATATCTTGGTACTTTGTATCCAAAGCAGTCCATCCTGTAGGTACAGTGTTCTCTTTACCTAGTTTAAGTCCACTAATGCCTGTGACAGTTGTATTGACATTTACAGCATGCCCAAGACTTTAAACAAATTTAATAATTATTTTGTAATAATAATGACTTAATCTTTGTAATGTGGTTTAGAGTTTGCAAAGCGTTTTGGCCTTTTTTTTTTTTTTTTTTTTTTTTTTTTTTTTTTGTCCCTTAGCCATTTTGGCATTCACAGGTCCTCCAAACTCTATAATTTAAACCACTAAAAGGTCCACAACACCAAGTGAAGACACCCTAATTTAAACCTGAATTATAAGCTGAATTATCAACAATTCCTTATGTTTGCATTTATAAAGTAAGGAAAATTGAGCTTCAGAACTAAAGACTGTTCCTCTTTGAAGTAACAATATAAGTATAAAGGAACAAAGTCTGGGTTTGGGGTGGGGCTGTTTTTCCTACCTCTAACTATTAAATTGGAACCCTCTAGTCCATGTTAATACATGAAATCATGTGTGTCCTAATTAGAGGGATATTCTCATGAGTTCAGTTGGATAGAATCCTAGGAAAGAAGGAACTTGATAGAAATGTCTTCCTATTGTAAAACAGGAATAGCAAATTTGTTTTTGTTTTGAGTCATAAACACATATAAGGTCATTTGTGAATACTATTTTTAAACTGTATAGGTTTTGTTGATGTCAAAAATATAAGATCTGAAAACAAAGCAAAATTTAATAAATGTCCTACAATAAATTTGTTGAATATTACATTCCTATAGAGTGTCTGGTTGAAAAGCAAAGGGGAAAAATAATGGGAAGAAAAGAAAAACAGAAATGGCAGAAGTGAAATGCAAAGGAAGAGAAGATGAAATGAAAAGATAGAGGGATTTTAAAAGAGAAACACAGATTTAGATATAGGAGAAGGTAGTTCTATAGTACTGAATAACTACAGACAGTCCCTGACTTACCGTGATTTGATTCATGATACTTTACTTTATAATGAGATAAAAGTGATAAACATTCAAAGATAGTGTGGTGGCACATGCCTATAATCCCAACACTAGGGAGGCTGAGATAGGAGGATCACAAGTTCAAGGCCAGCCTGGGCTACATAGTAAGTTCAAAGCCAGCTTGAACTGCATAGCAAGACCCTGTCTCAAAAAACAAAAAGAGAAAGAAAAAAAAGAGCAAAGCATTCAGTAGTAACCACACAGACAGTTTTTTAATTAAATTAATTGGTACATTGTGCTGTTAGGGATGGGGTAGAATATCCCTGCGTGCCCCCCGACCTGTGTTTGCACTGTGCTAAACGCAGCCTGACAGACACTCATTTGCTAATTCTGCAGCTTCTCTGTAAGGAGAGGGACTTTGTGTAACTCAGACACATTGCAGAGCCTAACCCAGTCCCTTGTCTACTGACTAAGGGAGAAACAGAGAACTGAGATCTTAGGGATCCCAGCATAGATCCTCCTCTTTTTATTCCTGTTGGGTGTGACTGTGACCGCAGCAGCCTTCTGGCTGCTTTCATGAGGCCTCATCTTCTCTAGAAAGAAAACATATTTGAGTATGTACATTTAAGTATTATGTAATGAAATCTGTTAATATACAAATAAAATAGGTATATCATAAATATATGCTTAAGATGCTTGGTATATGGGTGCAGTGGGGCACAAAAAAAGTTAATTCATACATTTTAGATACACACGATGATCACATTCATCATTGGGAATCTGTATATTTTGATTCCTCTCTTTTTGCCATTCTACTCTACTCCCTTCAGCCCCTCTTCTCCTCATTATTTACAAAAGCATTGTTCCCATTTTTCCTTCTTTTTCTTGTCCCTTCCTTCCCTTCCCTTGCCCTCCTCCCTAGTTCCCCTTCCCATTTGAACATTTTCTTCCTATTTTATAACATCTGTTACACATTTTGGACCTTGTTTACACTTTAGGTTTCTCACACCAGAAAAATAATGCAGTATTTACACGTGTGTCCAATTTATTTCACTTAACAGTACAGTCCAATGTCCATTAACTGATGAATGAATAGGAAGATATGTACTTTTAGAGTACTACTACTTAGCCATAAAGAAGGATAAACTTGAGATAATTCTAGGTAAATGGATGTACCTTAAGACCACACATAGAATGTTTAATGTTACTCTTTTCAGAGGCTACTGATACGTAGTCCAGTACTCTCTCACAATGCCCAACTCCCAGGTAAGTGTTCTTGGCACATTTAAGGCAGACTGGATTAAGCCATGATGTGTAGTAAGTTAGAAATGCATTTTCAACTTAACAGTGGGCTTCTATAGCTCTACTACACTGTCAATCAGAGTGCATTTGCACTTTTGGCCTACTCTACTAGTTGCTAGTTGAACCTGTTACCACTTTTTAATTATTTCCAATACTAAGAGTTGAATCCCAGGCCTTTGCACAGAGCTAGATCTCCTTTATTACTTTTTATTTTGAGACAGAGTCTAAAATAAATCTCGTAAGTTTATCAGACTGGACTCAAGTTTGCAGTTCTCCTGCCTCAGCCTCCAAGACTGCTGGGATTACAGGCATGTGCCATCATGCTGGATTTTTTAAAATGCTACCTCCTCCATTAGTTCTTCATCTGTAACTGATGGAGGAACCTCAGCAGACACAGCTGGGCACCTGGGCTATCAGACTTCCTACAATTTGGGCCTAGAACTAAGCCTGCTTTGTTCAAGGTATATCTGATTCAGTTACAAAGAGAAATTTTGTGCATAAGGAATGAACCACTTCTGCATGCAGGCAGTCTTCACTCCTTTAGTCAGAACCACTAAGGTAGCTCTGAGCACTGTTTATATAGTGGTGAACCAGTTTAAGTAGATTAATGGAGTATTAGAAAGTTTTTTTCATGCTTTAAACTTGAATCTTTAGTCTGTAGAACAGTTTTATTTGTGAACTATATGGGTTTCTTCTAACTTAGAAAATACAAAACATGCCTTCACAATAGTTATTAATTTATGAGTCATCCCACTTCTTCATTAAGCTTCATTTTCTTGTCTATTCAAATGAAAGCTGTCTATAGGCAACTAATTCAAAAGTGGGAGTTAAAAACTAGGGATACTGGGGTTGGGGATTTAGCTCAGCAGCATAAGCGCCTGCCTTGCAAGAGGCAATCATGGGTTCCATCCCTGGTACCGATAAATAAAATAAAATAAATAGATAAATAAAAACTAGGGATACTGTATTAAGTTTTAAACATTTTTTTACAGTTTTGGATTTTTATTGTTGTTTTTCGCAGCCATTACATGAGACAGATACTGGAAGCTCTGCGCTACTGTCATGACAATAACATCATTCATAGAGATGTGAAGGTAAGTCCTTCTTACCACTACCTTTGCTGTTTACAAAGAGAAACTGACATAACTATGATGATAATCACAATGTTTTCTTTAATATTCGCATAGTAGGCATCTTAAACTGAATTTTATTTACAAATAAAAATTGATTTAGCTCCTTTACATTTGGGGAGTCTTGGTAACAATTAGTACTAGGACTACCTTGCCATTTCCATTTCCTTATTTTTGCTAAAGGCTACATGCAATCTAAAATGTTATTCTCCTTTTGCCATTGTATGTAAAAGAACAACAAATGAAAAACCAGCAAGTATGCTAAACCAAACTATGTCCTATACTGAGTTAATTGAGAGAAAAGTTATCATTTGTTTTATATAGATAAAGTTAGGGGGCCAAGGATTTAGCTCAGTGGTGCAATGCCTGCCTGGTAAGCACAAGGTCCTGAGTTTGCTTCCTGGAACTCACACCCAAAAAAAGTTAACCATACATTTTCATAATGTTGCAATGTACACTGGGCATCACTGTATCTTCTTTGCAGAAACTTATTAGTATATAGCATGAAATCACAATTAAGGTGAAATACAGTCTGTGCCCTTAAAATATCAGAATGATCATTATTCAGTCTTTCTGCCTATTCTACCTATTATCAAGTTGATGAGAATTCTCAATCTCTGGCTCTCACAGTGTGAAGCAAAACATAGAGACAGCCCAAGAGGATACCAGTGGACCTTCCTCCTGATTCCTAGCCCCTTTCAAGGCCTAGAGCAGTGGTGGCAAACCTTTTAGAGATGGAATGCCCAAATTGCAACCCAAAACCCAATTATTTCTTGTAGAGTACCAACACTGCAATTGAACCTGAATAGAAAAAAAACAATTCACACATTAGTATCTTCTGTCTTAAAAGAAAAACATAATAACAGACCTTTCAAAATACAGCTTTTTATTGAAAGGTAAAAGCTTGCATTTGGCATGCTTTTGCACAATTAATGTGATCTCTGCTATTGTGTGCATGCTCACTGCAGCACCTTTGCCATAGATTTGCCACCACTGACCTAGAGTCACGGAGGAGCCTCTGATGTTTGTCTGGCCCTGGGATATACTTTGAAACTCTGGTTTTTTGTTGCTGGCCTGTCTCTACTCCAAACTTCTGGAAACATGGGGTTTCTTCCTTTGAGGCATATTATTAAAGGTCTGGCTTCTTCAATGTATTTTAAATGACCAAAAAAATAAGTAGAGTTTAAAGTTTCTATGATTGAGAAATTTTAACCAAAATTCTTCTGGTTAAAAGCTGAGAGAAAGCATGAACAATTCTAAAACTATCCAGCAGAATGTTATAATAGCAATTCAACATCATTGAAGAAATGGACAAAACATACATTAGTGTAAATTAGTTATATAATACTCATTCTTTCAAATGTGATGATAGGAAATTGATACTATTATTATGAAAATACAATACACTGAACAGCTCAATGAATGTATAACAGTTTTATTTTTTAAAATATTCTTTAGTTATCCAGAGTAAGAAATATGAAAAGATAAAGGGGAAAAATTGTCAAATATAGCACATACTGTGAGACCCTTTTGTATTTAATGCATATAAAAAATGATATGTAAGAAGTAAAATATATCTCCTAGATATTACAAAGTATATACAAAGAAAAATGATCACTTGAAATAATAAAACATATAAAATGATCCTATTAAAATTGTTAGTTCATGTAATAGCATTGTGTTAAAAAGCTAGTTCACTCAAGAATCAATTTTATTTTGCATGAATTCTATTTGTGAAAAACAGTTGTATCAATGTCATATAATTATGGCTGGACAATGTATTTCACTATACCTTCGCTAATATACTCAGATTTTGATTAACCATGGTACTGTATATGATACTTAAAATCCAAAATAATTATATTTTATTTCACTTTCTAATTTATCTTCTGATTTAATTATTCATCAACTATTTGAGTGCCCATTTCATGCAGAATACAGTGCTTAAAGCCCTGAATGTATTGTGGTGTCAGTAGAGTGTAATAAAGCAGCATATCTTTTATCTAGTGCTGCAGATCAACATACACTAAAATGTAACTTCAAAGAACAACTGCAATTATTTGCTGACCATCTTGCAGTTTGGACAGAGCTTCCTGGGGACTTCTCACTTCAAGTAAAGCTACATGGCTAGTTTCCATACAAGCTTCATTCAATCTTTTGGCATCTCAACTAAAGTGACTAGAACAGCTGAGTACTGGCTGGCCTTCTTTATCATCTCTCTTTCAGGGCTTATCTCACTCTTTCCCCATGGCCCTATCCTTTACAGGAAGTGCCTCCCGGCTCCAGCAAAGCAAAACTGGACATTGCCAGACCTCTTGAACGTAGGCCCAAAATTGACACTAGTTACATCCTCTGCATTCAGTTAATTTCGTCAAGCATAAAAAAGTCATAAGGCTAGCCTGGGTTCAAGGGAGGAAAAGTATATGCATCTTTTCAGTGGAGGAGCAGCCGCTGTATCAAGGATGGAAGAACTTGGTGGCCATCTTTATAGACAGACAGACATATAGTATGAGTGCTAGTGGTGAGTCAGTAAAAGACAATCATCAATTTCATGAAATAGGTTGTAAGGGGCCTGGTGTTGACTCATAGGGTAGTTTCATGGAAACGAGGGAATTTTTCACAGAGAAAGAACAGTGTGTACAAAGGCCCAAAAGTAGTTTTGCATTTGATTCTAAATTAATCCTATATTATTTTATTTCTAAAGTGCATGCCACATAATTTTAAGGAAGTACCCAGAAATGTTGTAAGGAAGGGAAGAGAAGTAATTCTCAAACTTCAGATTAACAAGAAAAAAAACCACCAAATAATAAGACACAATTTTTCAGGGAAACTTAACACAATGCACATATTAGTGTTGGTATTCTTTATATTTCAATACCTAAAATCTATACATTTTATGTGATAAATTAAATATTCTTATTTAGTTAATTGACAGTATTGAATTTGGCATATTTTCTTAAGGCATTCATCCATTTGATTCAGCATCTGGTTACAGGGGTACTATCATGCAAAGGTAAAGCTTTCATCATGATGTATTTCATGTAGTAATAATTTAACACTTCACTTGATTTCTTTTGTTAATATTTTTTCCAGGAAAGCTGCCTACAAGCTTTCTTTGCATTCAAATTTATGTGCAGTGACTTGTCTGTATGTAGATTTAGTTTGTAGATTCTGGTTTCTGTAGTTCATTTTTTATCTGAGTTTGCTTCTTTTATATTTGCTAAAGAAAACAGAAGCCAGGTGGGGTGGTACATGCCTGTAATCCTAGCACCCTGGGAAGCTGAGGCAGGAGAACCACAAGTTTGAGAACAGCCTGGGCAACTTAGTGAAACTCTGTTTCAAAGTAAAAATAAATACATAATTAAAAAGATGTAGAGATGTAGCTCAGTGTGAAGCCTTTGGGTCTGCTTCAAAGTTTAAAAAAGTGAAAAGAGTAGGAATGTAGTTCCGTGTTGAAGATTCTGGGTACAGTGCTTAGCACGGAAAGGAAAGAAGATGGAAGGGCATGGTAGTACTGTATTTTACTTCTCTTAGAAATAACTAGATTATTTGTTTTATCTAGCTAAGAATATTTTCATGTTCCCTTTCTTCTCTCTCATTCTCTCGCTCCCCCCCCCCCGTCTCATACACACACACACACACACACACACACACACACACGCACACATATTCCTTACCATATGAACCAAAAGCATTAGATTTCCCAAGGGTCTTGCCATTATATTCATTAGTAGTACTATTTTGTTAACTAGATGAACATTTCTTTTTGAAATCATCACAGATGAGTCTAAAAAGAATTGTATACGGTATCATGTGAACTGTAGTGAAACTGATTGCCTTGGAGAAGCACTTTTGCATGAGCCACACTGGTCAAATCTAGGGCCAGACAGTTTGTGAAAGAGGCTATCCTAGGTATCATAACATGATTAGCAGCATCCCAGCCTCTTCCCATTAGAGGCCAATAGCATCTTCCCCCAGTTGTGACAACCAAAAATGTCTCCACACATTGCCAAGTGTCTTCTAGGGCACAAAATTTAAAATTCATGGTTATTATATAATGTTATATTTCTTATGTTTTGCCTCTTTGTAGGTATTAATTACAGTATGCACATAAATTTCTCTCTCTGTCATCGTCTTCCCCTTGATTATTCTTTTTTTTTGTGAAAGGAGACAAAAAGCTCCATTACATCTCAGTGATCTTTCTCTTCCCCCATCCCTAAGTTAAAAGAACTCTGGAGAGAAATAGCACAGTTGTCAGAGTAAATGCAACTCCTGGCCCCTGGCCTACTTTGCTGGTTCTGCTAAGCCAGAGAGCCAGTAGAATCCTCTGGGCTCTCCTAACTCCTGTGGACAGCTTCACAAGGTGTCATCGGGGTGTGCAGAGAGAGACTCAGCATTCCTTTGGCCTTTCTGTCCCTCTGACCCACTCAGGCAGAACTGTAGTAACTGAAGTTGAAACAGAACAGCTCCTCTGGAAATGCAAACTGACTGCTACACACACAGTCACTTTCTGTTCTGAATGAGGCCTGACCCCAAGAGGTGTAGGTGCTAAGCTTTGAGTTCTCAGAACTGTGCAAACCCAAGTCACATATAAACCCAGCCGGAGGCCTCCAGCCCAAGTATTTCTGAGTATGCTTCCTTTAAATGGTTTTCCTCCCAACCTGTGTCAACACGCCTGGCTGCTCTCTGGTCCCCTTCAGGTCTCAGTTCTCCTTTCACATGCTGAGGGCCTGGTTTTATTATAAACATATGTTCATGTAATACTGGTTGCCGTGGCAGTGTGGATTGCTTAAAGTATTCCTTCCTCTTGCTTTCAATCTCTGATGTTTCTTTTATTTGTGTTACCATAACTCTCAAAAGTCTCTCATTTTGTACAAGAAAAATGAAATTCTCACAAACTTATTTTCTTCTTTACTACAAGAATTACCCTGGCTACTCTTCTGGCATTGCTTTTGTAAGGTTGTTGAATATAATGTACACATTTAATTTGTAGTGTTTTAATAATTGTACTTAGAAAAATCTCATGAACTATGAGATCATATCAATGTAATTTGCATTTCTAACTGCTGTACGTCTGTTCTCCCAACACACTCGTGAAACAAAAGGACGTTCCTGATTTATTTTTAAAAAGAAGGGTGGCTGGAAGTCGTGGCACATACTTGTAATCCCAGCACTTGGGAGGCTAAGGTGGAAGGATCACCTTGAGTTCAAGGCCAGCCTGAACTACATGGGAAGACCCAGTATCAAAAAACAAAACAAAAGAGTGAATGTGGTCCCACTCACTGCTCCTCACATTGCAATCTGGGCTGGTGTGTATCGTTTAACCAAAGATATTTTTCTGTCTGGTGTAAAACCTTTCTTGTTGGAGTAATTCTTCCCAGTGATATCAATTCCACTGGAATTGCAGACCATCAGAGGAAGATCACTGTGTGACTGAAATGCTTAACAATTACCAGCATCTCTTTGTGTTCTGCCAGCAAGCTTTCTTTTCACCTGTCTTCACACATTTGCCCATCATAATTCCCACCTTGGCAGTCTGCAAGACCAAAAATAGACCAAGAGTCCTTACCAAATCAAAACTAATGGGCCATCTTCCCCTCCTACCTAGGGAGGACAAGACTCCCAGTTTGAATGGTTTATCCTGGTTTTTGTTTGAACAGTCTTAATGGCTTGTTTTCCTGATTAATAGTTTAAAAACTGCCTTAATGAGAATGCATATGTAGAAAAAATAAAAGGAAATAAACAGTGTGTCATGCTTATTTTCTTAAGTTAAAATGTCATCTTATTGGTGTCTAAGTCAAAATTTCAGGTTTCTGAGATCTCAAACTTATTTGACTTTAACTCACACAGAAGAAACATTAAGAATACCATTTTTCCAAAACTCAAATGTTAAAATTAAAAAATTAGCAATATTTTATATAGAATATTTACTATTACATTGAATAGCCAGTTCCCTCAATTGCATAAAAAATAATCAACTAATTAGGAAAGCATCTATGATACAAAGGTAAATGTGATGATAATGATCTCGGTACCTAGTTCAATACAGGAGATTTAAATGGGAGTTTTCTTTCACAATGAGTAACTTGAAATTGCACATACCTCTTCCTGCTTTTTTATGTAGGAAATACTTTGGTAACATTTTTATTTTTTTATTTAAAATAGTAGGCAGAGCTATAAAGTGATTTTTTAAAATAATGATTTTTAGAAGTTATAGTTTTTAAGAATCTTAAGTACAGTGAGATTTAGTATAGTATAGTTTATGTTAAAGGAAAATTATTGATAATCTTAGTTTGATGAGTTTTGATTGTCTCTACTGTTGTAACTGAAGGAATCCGGGCATCTCAGGAATTCCCTTGAAGGACTTACAGTTGTTTTGTGATTGCAGGTCTAGAAAGTTACTAAATCGGATGCCTCCATTTACAATCAGTACACAGGAAGGTTGCCTGGATTTCTCAGGTCTCCTTTATCTCTACAAATTACTGAGCCAGAAATTTGATTGCTAGTATAAAAGAAAGAATAGATATATATGCACTGTAAGTACTAGAAACCAGAATGTGCTTAGACTTTTCTCTCAGTTAAGCATCAAAAAGAAAAGGGCAAATATTTACTGGTTTTGTTCTACAGATTTTTAATGAAAATTACACAAATGTGTCAGAGCAAACTGTAGTGACTTTGAATACACAGCTCTAGGAGATCTGTACAGTGAGTTGCTATTACAGGTGTTTCTAATTCAGGAACAAAATACACTATGAGATTAAAGACTCATGTGAACTTTAAACTTCCTTTTGCACACTAGGGAAATTAGCATATGGAGAAAAAATGAGTCTTTAAGCAGTTTCTAATGAAGTGGCAAATTACAGTCACAAATGATTGTTTTTATTCATCTGTTTATGTTTTGTTCTTATCTAAGAAAATACAAGTACCATATAGGTAGAAATAGAAAATATGCTGTAGCTCCAAATGTCCTTCTGATCATGGGAAAACAACACAACATTTTTTAATTTTTTTGATTATAATGTATGCAGTGCACAATGTAGTCACCATCATTTGTCTTACAAACAAGATTACATGGAAGAAAGAAATGGCCACTAAGAAATGCTTGCCTCTTAAATATTTACTTAGCTATTGGAGAAAATTGGGATGACTTACTTAACTATGCACTTCGGTTTTTCATCAGTAAATAAATGGTGGCTGTGATGATTTAAACAAGACATGTAAAGCATATAAGCAGAGTTCCTGGCCCATAAGTGTTTTATTAGGTGATACAATGATGTTATTACAATGCTTTATCGTTTACTTATTTCACAAAAATCAGTAGAACATTTCTACATACCAGGTATTGTCATTAATAGCATTATTTATATTGGATACAAAAACAAATAAAATGTGATAAGGATGAACATATAAAGATACTGTTTCAGCTTTTTATTTTGTCAAAGCCTAATTAAATTTTTAAGCATACTTACAAGTAACATTTGCTTAATAAATATCAGAATCAATGAATATTGCCTCTCCCAGTAACATGAACCGGGTAATACCAAATAAATAATATGTGATTCAGCCTTGGATTTTTATACTGTATTATTCATACATTTAGATAAGACTTAAATGAGGATGTTTCTTATCCATTTTTTTCTTGTGCTAATTTTTAAAGTTTATCAGTGACTAACAAAACATACTAGCTATAGATGGACCTTTGTATTCTACTAGAAAGCAGGTAAACCATAAGCATTTGTCTCTTCATCCTACAGAGTAAAATACTATGTTCTGAACAGAAGTTCCACAAAAGAGTTTAAAAAGAAAATGGTTTATTTCATGTGCAGTGGAATCCTTCCAGTGCGCTTGACCTCTGCCTCTGAAAATTGCTGCCATCTCTACTTTTAGTAGAAAGAACTATAAGTTGAGTTCTGTGAATATATGTATATTTTTAAACCAAAGTAGTTTTCTTGGTACCTGTTGTCAACCAAGATATGACATGTAAATTATTTACTTTAATGTCTGTAATCGAGTCACATGAACATTTTTCTTTTCTATGGTGGTTTTCCATCAAGAAGTCAACGATTTCATTTAAATGGTTGTATATGTGGTGAATTTGATTTTGTAAAAAGATTATATAGTGTCTTCTTGAATGTTTTATCTAAGAGAAGAAATATGATGGGGTCTGTGCTACTTCTGGCTGAAGCAAGACAGGTGAGGATATTTTTTGTTTCTATTAAATAATTCAATAGCAGACAGTCCTCACTTTGACGCAGAACATAAAAAATAGGTTTAAAAATACTGTACGGAAGAAAGCAAACTATTAGTAGAATCTGGATGACCAAAAGATGTCTTCTCACAGAATTGTAAGTCAAGTCTTTCTCCATAATAGATGTACAGGCCCTTATTTTTCTCAGATGGCTGACAAAAGAGTAGTAAGACGTTAGTACTACTAAAAATGAAAGTCCAATGAATGTGGTTCCAATGAGACCTGCAATCTGAGATATCACGGCTCCCACTTCCGTCCGCCGATTGTAGCACCAGCTCTCTTTTCCTATTGTAGCCTCTACAGCTGAGTAGTATATGATAATGGGAATAATTATGCCCATTACAATTACCCATATGAAAATGCACAATTTTCTAGCAAAGTTGGGCTGGCGAAATTTTTTTAGTAAGTGGCCATAAAATATTTTCTCATAACATGAAGTGGTCTCTTGGGTGGAATCCTTTTTTATTAAAGTAGCATAGCGGCTTACAGCAATCCAACTTAAAATTAAGAGGCTGACAAACATACTTACATGCATGGATAAAGTTCCCAGAAAATTGAACACTTTGCATTCTGCAGATTTATATTCCCATTGGAAACCTTTCAGGAAATAGATACCCATGAAGGGCATGGCACTGCACACAAGTAAGTTTGCAGTCACAAGATGTGCCAGGTAGATGTGTGTTGATGTTTTCTTACCTATTTTTGTCAAAAATACCCACTGAGAGAGTGAGTTTCCAAAGAGACCAACAATACAAAGAATGGTATAAGTGATTGGTAAAGCTCTGGAAGTGATCATGGATGGTCGAATGCATGTTGAATTGTTATTCATTTATACCAGATCTTCTTGAATTTTGTCACAGGAGCTAGAACAGAATTGTATATACTTAATATTAACACTGTAGGTGGTATTTAAGCTAAATAGTAAAAACAAAAGTTTTGGATGCAATAAAATAATAGCAAAATGTATTGTGGAAAGGGAAAGCATAGATGGCTTCTTACCTTTTTTAATCACAGTGTTCAGTTGTGATAAAAGTAAAAAATGTGCTTATTGTGATAGATAATGCCTTTGTCTAAAAAACAAAAATTGAAGCAAATAGTTAAATTTCTGAGTATTATCATTTTATGTGAGAGTAATTTGTAGTTCTTATAAAGCAATGTGTGATGACAGATTTTGTCTAGAATTATAATTTTCAAAATGTAAAGCATATATGAATAGTATATACTGATCAAAGAAAAATGTTACAAAGGATTTTGTGGCCACATTAGAGAGCTAAAAATTTTAATTAGCACCCTGCTTATTTGTAAGTAGTTTTCAAAATGATGTCTTTTCACAACTTGATTAAAACTAACCTACTACAGAACTATTAGAAGAATCTCTTTTCATAGCTCACAAATAAAGTTAATTCCACCTGAACAAAAACTCAGACAAGCACCTGAATTGAACAGAAGGCATAGAGACCAAAGATAGACTAAAAGCTCACGATCTAAAGGCATCAGAAATTGTTCTTTATATTGCTAAACTGTCACACTTCAAAAAAATTAAAATTGTGGGGTCATGCATGGTGACATATACCTGTAATCCCAAAACTTGAGGAAGCTGAGGCAGGAGGATTGTTGCAAGTTTGAGGCTAACCTGAACTACATAGTGAGTTCAAGGCCAGCCTGAACTACTACAGAGAGAGACTCTGTCTCAAAAAAAACAAAGGTGGGGGGAGTGGTGCTGGGGATATAGTTCAGTGAAAAGGCACTAGATTTAATCTCCAGTATTGGGTGAAGAGATTAAAATTGTACTTCAAAAATTCAGTTGTTATGATTGTTGGGGAGAGCTCCCTTATGTGTCCTCACATGTAATTTAGTGCTATCTGGGTTTTTCCAATTTTTTTTCTTCCAAGTATTAGAGATTGGACTCATGGCCTTCACACTGAGCTATATCTCCAACTCTTTTTTTTTAAACAGTGTCTCATTAAATTGCCCCAATTGGGCATGAATTTGCAATTGTCTTACCTCACACACCCAGACTACCAGGATTACTGCTGTGCACCACCATGCCCAGTTTCAGAGGATTCGTTATTTGTTTAGAGAATATGATGTTTTAATCACAGCATAAATGCAACTGTAATTTATGCCTTTTATATCTTCTTTATGAACATTCTGGTTGCAAAGGGTACACAGATATGCCAACGAATCATATACAGTCTCCCTTGTATTTCTTATTTTTATCTCCTTATTTCCTTATTTTTTCAAGTGAGAATAACAAAGAAAAGTTACTACATTCTGGGCAAATAAGAACTGTGATCTGTATTCCAACGAGCCACATTTCTCTGTGCTCTTCACTATAACTCTCTGGGCACCACATCTGCCACTATTTTATAATCTATAACAAGATTTCTCAAATTTTTCAATCACATTTTCTGTTTTGATTAACATAAAAATCTTGCCATAAACAGACTTCTGATGTGTCTTCAGCCCCTCGGATCTATTTTATTCCCTATCCCTCCTCAGAATCATGGGTTCATTTATTTTTCATATTCTGGATTGCTTTTTAATTGTATTTCAAATTTCATAGACATCAGGATTTTTTTTCAAAATGTAATAGTGTAATTTTGAAATAAATTTTTAAACCAAACAATCCACACCCAAAAATTTAAAGACCTAAGAGCTACACAGGTATCTCTATGTGCAAGTATTGAGACTTTTAATTGATGTCTAACATTGTCCTCATGCAGGAACTTCACTGACAAGTAGTTCACCATCTTGCTCCTCAAATTTGTATTTACTGTACCTCCCCTTTGTTTTGTTGTTAGAGGTTTTTTATTTTGGGTTTTTTGTTTTTGTTTTTGTTTTTGTTTTTGAGACAGGGTCTCGCTATGCAGTTCAGGCTGGCCTTGAACTCACTTTGTAGCTCAGGCTGGTCTTAAACTTGCAACAGTCCTCCTGCCTCAGCCTCCCAAATGCTAGGATTACAGGCATGTGCCACCACACCCAGCACCTCTCCTTTAGAAATTTTACTTTTAGGGGCCAGAGATTAGCTCAGCAGCATAAGCACCTGCCTGGCAAGCACAAAGTCGCAAGTTCAAACCCTAGTACAAAAAAAAAATTTTTTTTTACTTCTAAAGGTACTAGACAATTGTTTTCTAAAATTTGGGGAATACCATTAAACTTAAATTAAATCAAAGTGACATGTTACAGATACAGAATTGCTTTCTAGAAAACATCTCCAGGTCTACATTCCTTTCAGCAGAATGCCTGTCTCAAGTCACTAGTATACACATTGTATCTCTGTTAATTTGACAAATGAATAAGTGACACAACTCTTAACAATTACTAATGATCATCTATATAGTTATATCCTTTCTTAATGATAACTTTTCAAATTTTAAAGTTTAGTCCTATTAAGGGTTTTAATAGAATTAACTTTTAAGCTAAAAATGAATAATCACCCTTACCTGTAAGAGTAGTTTATGCCAGTTAAGGTTATATTGTTCAAGGAAGTGATGCAAATTTCAAACTTAAAATTCTCTAATCTTCACTCTTCCAGTATCGTTAGTCAATGTAAGTAGATTCTTGTATGATGCCAGCTATGCTACAATGGGGGAAAAGGAAAATAAATAGAGTATTGAAGAAATCCAGTAGTTATGGCTAATGTAACTATCTCCTCAAAAAAACCCCTCATTTCTCTACTTCAGTAGTGAGAGGAAGTTTGTGGACAATATATACATATATTGTACTTCCTTATTATTATTTCGTGAACTAGTTACACCCCATTTAGCTTGATTACCATGATTGGCTGAACTTCAGAAGTTTAATCCTCCATAAGCTAGTTTTATATGACATCATCATAGAGAAAACTACACTACCCAATAAAATACTGGTACAAATTTGTCTGTAAACTTATCTGTAAAATCATGTGGGTGACTTATTTGCAATTCATCTTTATTAAGAATAGAGGGAAACAAAGCTCAAAGCTTTCTTACGGTAGCATACTAGAAACAACTATTCTTAGAGTAGCACTAGAACTTTAGGATCATCTATGGGTTGAAATCCTTTGTTTTAAGATTGAAGAATCCAAGGCCCAGAGAAATCCACCATAAGCACAGACCGCTGCAGTTTGGGTCCCAGTTTTGTTACTAATGAATTAACTCTTCTAACTGTCCTGTGCTGACTCCATTCAGATTCAATGTTTGGAGCATTTTAGAAATAGACTTTGAAAATCCTGGGAAGTAACAGATATGCCATAAATCAAACGAGGTTATAATATAATGAACTGTGAAACCGATTTTATGAATAAGATTATTTAGTCAGTCTGTGAACTGCTAACTAAATGAAAGCTAAATGTTCACAGCTGGGGAGCAGACTGCCTCAAGCACCCTTCCTTGGGTAGTTAAGCCAGAGGAATCTGAAAAAGAGAGCATAAATCTAATTTAATCTAGCCTGAGCACTTCAGTTATCAATAAATCTGCATTTAAAATTAATAGGTTTGCTATTTCTCATAACTCCCATTGCTTATCATATTTCATCTTGATTGAGCAAATTCTCTCCGATGTTTGCTAGCATTTTTCTCTAAAACAAAAATGAGAACTCCATATGGAGAATATGATTCTGCTGCTGTGCGTCTATGCAGTATTTGCCATCATCCAATTAAGAACAGTGATTCATCCAGGGTTACATGGCAATTGATTGCAGAATAATTTTCCTTCTAGAATTTCTATCATCTTTATTTCAACAATTTTTCATGTTCCAGAAAGAAATTACTTAGAATAAAAACATTTTGGTGCTGGGGGTGTGGCTCAGTGGTAGAGCACTTCCCTGGCATGCATGAGTCCTGGGTCAGATCCCCAGCACTGTAAAACAAACATTTGGAGGTAATTTAAAGAAGAAAAAATTGAAATTAGAATGCTGTTTAAAAGTCATTGAAAGACAGTTTTAATATTATCTGTTGAGGCGTAAGCACCTTTAATCCAAAAACAAGACTTCCTTGCTTTCCTCCTTTGTCCGCAACTCAGTTAATAATACACACTGTCACTCCTTCAGTTACTCAAGCCAAAAACTTAAGGCTCACTCTTGATTCTTCTTCCTTCACATTTTATATTCTTTCAGCTGCTGCTGCTGAAGCTTCTACTACTGCCACCATTATTTAGTCAGATATCATGAGAGCTTTGTATGTGCCAGACTTTCTGCTGTTTGCTGGTCTTCACAATGCCCTGAAAAATAAATACCTTAATTTCAAACTGAAGCGCAGAAAGTTTATGTAAGTTTCCCAAGTCACACAACATTGTGATTAATTGCCTTCAGAGCAAGTAATTGAAAAGAGCAAGCCCACAGATACAATGCCTTTATTTTGTTTGTTTGTTTGTTTGTTTTTTATCTAGTTTCTGAAGACAACACTGTCACTTCTGCAGTATTTTGTTGGTCATATATAGCTAGCCCTGATTGTGTGAGGGTTAAATAACAAGGAGATGATGATCACTGGGAACTATTTTAGAAACCAGCTACCACAGTTGTTAAGCAATCACTGAACCAAAGAGTCAGAAGAGCCATCAGACCATTTATGGGACAAGAATGATTGGATTTGTCTGTTTTGCCAATTCTTAAACTGTTTTGACTTTTGTTCTCTGTATTTTTCTTAAACAGTGCAATTCACTCAACAGATATTTACTGGGGTTTATAATGTGTCTCTAGTGACATGTGGGGATCATAGAAGTACTGCTAGCCATGAACTAATTTCAGGTTTCTGGAAATTCAACAGAGGTTCCAAGAATTCATATTAATATGTGATATATGATAAAGTCTTCAAACACTCTATAAGTTAGATAAGAGAGGAAACAGTCAATCAAAGTGGCTCTGAAAGTCTTTGTGAAAGCAACTGGAGGGAAAGAGAAGAGAATGCTTAGTGAGCAATAATTCTGTGCCAAGTTTTTTTTTTTTACATATAAGAACACTGGAAGTGATAGGCAGAAATTGAAGCTTAAAGAGGTTAGGGTGACACAGCTGGTAAGTTACATTTAAAACAAACTCTTTCTCTGCTGTAGAAGGCAGAAATTATTGTTTTTTCTTGCAGATCAATAAGAAACCTTATAATACTCATGAAAAATAAACTAGGGTCCAGTCTCAAGTACTTGTAATTTCAGGCAAGGTTTCTTATTCTCAACACAAAGGTAGCAGAAATTAACTATAGAAGAGATCAGAGTTAACTTTTTTTCTCTTTGTAACTGTGGGCCTCATTAAGCTAATTTTTCTTCCAGAAATATCAGCATAAATTCTTCATGATTTAAGTGACTTTGAGTTTTCTAATTGAAAGTAAAATATTCTACTTATGTTTTTCTTTTAAAAGTGGGAAAATATTGTTGAAACTTGTAGAAAAGTGTCAGAAAATATTAAACTAACAAAAGTATTACTTGCTAAAAAAAACATTCTGAAAATAACAAAAGATGTTGCAAGTTCTCTGTCAAAAATGGCCCCTCTGGACTTTTTTTACTCAGGTCACCAAGAGTTTTCTTTGGTTAATCATTTTTTCCATCCTTCTCTACAAAGTTCCGCTTCTGTTGTCTAAGTTCAAATGCTCTTGCTTAATTGTTCTAATGACTTCCTATATCACCTATCAGTCACTCATCTCTTAAGTGTTCCACCCTGAACCTTATCATCTACCTCCTCGAAGTATTAGTTTCCTACAATTCGAATCCTGTCTTGTACTAAGTTTCCTTTAAATTTGTGTATTAAGTGCATTTTTCAATCTAGCCCCAGAATTTCACTGGAGTTGTTCAGTGATAATGGTCCAGTGAACAGGTGTATGGTCATTAGTTTAAGCACTTCATGGTAGACTGTATGTAGCAGAAATATATGGGAACTTTCTTGACTTACCTGAATTCTTGGGGTTAGAATTAGGCTCCCTATCAATTTCTCTCAGAGCTCAGAGCTAGCAGATTCAGGACAGGTTAGTCATACATGAACTTCCGTGCTTCCACCAGAAAGTTATTTTAGGCTATCCAAACTAGTGTCTAAACTGGCTGCAGTTGACCTTTTAAAGATTCTGTTTGACTAATCAGGAGGTCAGGATATTGGTGCAGAAAGAGAAGCCAGAAGCCTAATTTTTTTTTGACAAGCCTATTTTACCCACGTTGGAACAGCACATTCTAAAGATAATGGTTTCTCAAAAAGGGAGGCTCATCCAGTTGAGTGCACACCCAACCCACGGTTACCTTTAGGAGGGGTGAAGCACAGCTCTGTTACTCAAAACTGTGGTTTGTTCAGGCCTCACTTAGCCCCCTGCTCGCTTCAGGATGTGGTGTCTGGCCACAACCCAGTTTGCAGTTGCATTGCTCTCAGGCCCTTGCCTCCTGCTATAAGCCACTCTAATCACCCTTTACTACGGTGCCTAAAAGGACTTCGTGCTTGTAAGAGCTGATTTCTCAGTAAACAGTGGGAGCATTTATCTCAAGAACTACTAAAAAAACAGCCAAGAATACAATCTAAAATTTTCACATTTATAAGAGCACAGAAAAAGTACATGTTAGTGTTGTAAGAAACACTAATGACAAAGTCTAAGTGGTCCTGATAATCCAAATTTCATTATTCTTCAACTTCAGCTTTTGTCTCTTCATATAGGCTTGAATGCCCTGCTAAGAGATCAGCAGATTGAGGACAGAAATGTACAGAAACACTGTAGCAGTGGCAGTGACAGTCATAAGAATTAAGATCACCGAAAGTGAGAGTTGGAAAGCAACTGAGAAATTAGCAGGTTTACAGCAGGGGAAAAACTTAAACAATGGATTAGGCAAGGCAATAATATTTTTAAGGACAATCAGATTTTTGAACATCGGCATCTTTGAATCAGCCAAATTTGGCTCATGTTTCAGAACCAACCATTCTTTTTTATGAGTTCTTTGAAAAGCCAAAAGTAAAGATTTCTGAAAATTAAGCATTTAGTAGGATGCTAAAAATATTTTGATCTACTGTATTGCTGCCCATACAAAATACACAAAGGATCCCAATTCTAAGAAACAGTAACTTGCATTACAATGAGATTGAAGTAATTAAAAAGACATAAGACATTAGTGTCCAGAATTTTCACCAATCCACAGTACTGTACTGTAAGGCCCAGTAAGGAGTACTGTAAGGCTCAGATTCAAGCCTTTTTGGAGCCCACATTCTTAATTATAAGACATTGTCTTTTAGCGTTCAACCCTTTCAAGGCCCATATTCTTAGCTACTACTTTATATTGTGACTCGACTTTATATTGTGTACACGACAGCACTCAAAAAGTCTGATGTATTGCTTTGGACAAGATAACCACGTATCCTCAGTGACCAAAGTATTGAAGCCTGGAAATAATAAAATCTCAAATGTTCCATGTCTTCAGAAATATTTAGCAGGAAAAAAAAAAAAAAAACAGAAGAAATGTGCGTTAGATTTAACATGGAATGAGTCTGTGAGCTGTGCCTTTCTCTGGTAGTGCTTTGGCCAGCAGAGGGCAATATCTTGCCAACCTTAGAAAGCCCATTGCTGTTGCTGCAAGCTGAAGCTGCCTACACAGCACTATTTTCCAGCTGAAAACTTTGAGCCATAAAAAAGTTGGAGTTTGTTTTACTTAGGCACTAATAAAATAATAAACCACTTTGTTTTAATAGTTGAAAACTTTAAATTTGATAGAATAAAAGAAATTGTATAGATAATGGGTTTCTGTCCTTAAAATGAA